GTTCTTTCAAAAAAATACCCAAATATAAGCTCATGTACACATTTAAAGTTCCTGTATTTTACTGCAGTTTAGTCCATTATAATTCAGAAGGAAATGCTTTTTTTGCTGGGTTTTCGCTGTGGAGGTTTCGTTGTGGTTTTTTAAACCACACTTTTTATTGTGACAGCGTAAATTACTTTCTACTTTGCAAATTTTTCTCTGTGTTTACAGTTAACATGATATGATGTTTTCTTAAAGGTTAAACAGTCCCACCATGAAGACAAGTGAGTTGGAATAATTGTAGATGATCGTTTAGTTTCTAGAATGTCAGCTGACACGTGCGCTTACATTTTTATACAACCTGTTGCACACATATTGGTTATCGTGTTGTGGGTCATGTTGTTTTCTGTGTGAGCTTTGCCGCCAGCAGCCAGCGACTCTTTTGGTTTGCTGGTGTAAACAATGCAGTATCAGCGCGCGTGTAAGAGAAAATCTTTATAAATGCATTTTGTGTTGTGCTGTTTGAATGATGTATCCTTCCTCCTTTACTCTTAATTCTCTATTTAACAGGTATTACAGTCACAATTTGAATTCTACTGGAAGGATTGTACAGCACACATTTTTGTTAACTTTAAAAAACAAGACTTGGGTTCCCCAGTTTGAAATTATTTTGGATTTTTTCTAATCAATGCAGGATCAAAAATATGGCCTTTGCATAAGTCTTGCTGTAAGCTGCAGCTTAACCAAACATTTTTGGTCACCTTTAACGAGCTTCGGGCATTCTGGCTGGAAATTTCTTGGCACTGACTCTGTCACAAATTTTTTGATTACTATCAAAAGTGTAGGCCATTGGTGTCCAACTCCAGGCCTCAAGGGCCGGTGCCCTGCAGGTTTTAGATCTCACCCTGGGTCAACACACCAGAATCAAATGATTAGTTCATTACCAGGCCCCTGGAGAACTTCAAGACATGTTGAGGAGGTAATTTAGCCATTTAAATCTACCGTGTTGGATCAAGGACACATCTGAAACCTGCAGGACACCGGCTCTTGAGGCCTGGAGTTGGACACCCCTGGTGTAGGCTACCAAAACATTTAATAGGCGTGCATCTATACTTTTGTTCCCGTGTGGGTTACAATACCGGCATTCATTTTATATTTAATCCCCTAGTTGTGCCAGATTTTGAATTACTACGGTGTAAACCTTTTTGTATTTTCTGTTTAATCGGCTGCTATAAGACAGTTATTTCTTCTTCTTCTTCTTTTTGGCTGCACATAGAAAACACATATGTTCCATAGCCCAGGATGACATCATTGATGTGGAAAAAGCATAAAATTTTATGGACACTGGTCTATCAAATCTCCACCAATGAAAACTCTTTCCTTGCTTGAAAGCAAGGCTCATTCAGAAAATCTACCTGTAGCAGATATGAAATAACAGTTAATTACACAATGGTAAGAAAAATCTGTCATAACACAGGAAAAGATAAGCCTGAAGCAAACCCACTCACACAGACAGAGTGGGTTTGCTAGTTTCAGTTTAGTTTTTATTATCTTTTGTATTTATGATGATACAATGATAAAGAATAGAATAAATATTAGAGATCTAGAGTGATTGTAGTGATCTCAGTCTCAAAAGCACATTTGACCGTGTCCACAGAGTGTCCTGTGGGAGTTGCTCTGGGAGTATGGGGCATCTAAGAGCCGATCAGTCCTTATACTTCTATTGCAAGACCTTGGTCTGCATAGCCGGCAAATAAGTTTGCTGGTGGGTGTTGGACTCCATCAGGGCTGATTCTGATCATAAATTTTATGGACAGAATTTATAGCAGTAGTCAAGTGGCAAAAGGCTTCCACTTTGTTCTCAGAATCTCGTATCTGCTTTTTGCAGATGATGTGGTTCATCAGCACCTCCAAGTCTGAGGTCATAGTCATCAGCCAGAAAAGGGTGGAATTACCACTCTGGGTCGGGGGTGAGTTACTGATGAGTTACTAATGATGAGTTACATCCTTTTACTTGATCAATGTACATTTTTTTTTGCAACAATCCAAAACAGCGAAAAATACAATGTCAAGTCCAGAATATTCTTCAGTAAAACCTCAAAGGTACTGAATGCTCAAAAATATGCTGAAAGGAAACTTAAGCACATACTCCCACACAATGTAACTGTTTAATTTAACATTAAACACAGTTAAGGCTCACAAATCACATTCCCATCTAAGTGGGAATAAATAAAATACATATGCAACAGTGGGAAGTGTAATAGTTTATACTTCCAGTGTCTTTGAATGAAACAGTTCGGCTATACTTCTGTTTGCTCTCCAGTTGTATTTAGCAGAGGCTGAGCAACCCAAGCGTGTTCCTTCTTCTTTTTCCTAACAAAAGATAAAGATGGAAACACCACAAAGGAGAAACAAAGATGTTCTTTTTATGAACAAATATGCGAAACACTGATACATCTTACACCACATTGTTTGTTTTATTAAAACAGACACTAATGTGTCCTTGTATGTATGTCCTTGAGTGACTTATGTATGTATGTATGTATATATATGTATATATTAGAGGTGGGACCAAGTCATTGTTTTGCAAGTCTCAAGTAAGTCTCAAGTCTTTATCCTCAAGTCTCAAGTCAAGTCTCAAGTAATGTCAGGCAAGTCAGAGTCGAGTCTCAAGTCACTGGTGTAAAAGTCCAAGTAAAGTCACAAGTCTGAAATTTTGAATTTCAAGTCCTTTCGAGTCTTTAAAAAAAAAAAACGAAAAAAAAGCATGTTGCAGTTATGCTAAATGTAAATATTAGGACATGTAATTTTTAAATCTGTGTTTTTCTCAACACATGACAAAATAGTGAACTTAGAAAATATACACAAATTGTGAAATTGCACCTCTTTAAAATGCAGCTCAATTAAACCTAGCTCCAAGAATAATTTTCACCGACAGTTCTGAGATAAGCTGCATGTTATTCTTGGATGCGCTTGTAGGACCGGCTTTAAAATCGCATGACAAAAATATCATACATAAATAAATGATATTTTAAAAAAAATATAATTTAAAAAAAAACTGCATCACCAACGTAGCCTGGAAAACATTTGCTAGTTAGATGAAGTCAGCTATCTCATCGTAGCATATTTATATGCATATTTATAATTATACGGTTCTTGGAGTGAGCGCATACACTCATGAAGTTTAGTAACTTCCGGTCACTGCAACAAGCCCAGGTACAGTTTACCGACGGATGGGTGCAGGACCTTGAAATGCACTGTGTAGAAAGAAAAGACCATCGTACGTATCATAAGTTTACCAGTCTCACAAATCGTCGTCATAAATACACATTTGTTAACCGTTTATTAATAGGACCTTTGAGCTCAACGGTAGTTAATTAGCAGTGGAAATAATTTCTGGTAGCATCACAGAAATGTAGCAGTGACAATAATACTGTATGCTGTAATCGCACTGGACAATTAGTGATACAAAACAACTGTTTTACCCTGTGAATAAAAGTATATGTTTTTGTCAATGTACCATAATAACAGAAGCGAAACACAATATTCTGTCAGGATAATTCACTATTTATGCACAATAAATAAAGGAGCATAGCAACAATTTCTGTTCAGCGCCAGACTTGCCTGTAACCTATATCACCAATTATGTTAAGAAAAATGACGCATTAACTACAACAGCAGACTGACCTTTGTGGAAATGCTTGGAGCAGACTATCATGTGAGCTGGAGTGTTCTGAGACGTTATATTTGATCTTTGAATGGCTGCAATCCAGTCGCATCTTTGTTACTTCGGAAACATGGCTCGAACAATTTCTCTTCAACGACGTAATCCAATAACAACCGATCTCTTTACCCGTCGGCTTCCCGTGGCTGTCATGCGACCGGCTATTGCAGTTAATAACACAACAGCTTCTTGACATTTTTGTGTTTCTTTTTATCGCTGTGTGACTGGTTTCAATTGAAAGCCTGCATGCGCTAGTACCGCTTGCCACGAGTTCCCAGAATCCTTTGCGGTTCTACCCGTGAATGACGTCACATTTTCAATCTCTATATAATATGCATGCTAAATTTTATATTTGGGGTAAAATATCAAGTCTTTTCAAGTAAACCGGTTCAAGTCCAATTCAAGTCCCAAGTCATTGGTGTAAAAGTCCAAGTCAAGTCACAAGTCTTAGAACATTTTTTCAAGTCAAGTCTAAAGTCATAAAATTAATGACTCGAGTCTGACTCGAGTCCAAGTCATGTGACTCGAGTCCACACCTCTGGTATATATTGTACTATTCTTAGTTAGTGTATTGTCTGTCTTGTCTTAATGTTGGTTTAAAATGGAGCACTGTAACAAAAAATAATTTCCCCCAGGGATCAATAAAGTATTCTGATTCTGATTCTGATATTTGAATACAAATACCATATATAAAATATCACACTTGGGTAATAAAATAGTGACAGGTTTATAATTGAATTTTTGTCTCAGCCTTTTGGATTATGACCAGTAAAAATCAATGGTTGTAGCTATGTTTAAACCAGTGACATTTCCCTAATTTAAGAATGACGCTTTTGTGATGTCAATGCTGAGAGTCACAAAAAGGAGCAACGCCTTATAAAATTTCCCACATTGCACTGCTGCCTCTACAGGAGTCTTTGTCCGGTCAGGGTGTGTTAATGCAACAATTAACATGTATGATGCAATGTTTTTCTTTTAAATTGCCCATAATTATAATTCCTTGCTTCCTACTGAGCTGGTTTGAAATCAATTCCTCCCAAAAGTTACACGTTTTTACACAGTTAATAAGTAATCACACTACCTTTTTGTGACAGGTGTGTGTATGTGCATAAACACTGTAAGACTGGAAAAGTGTTAAATAAAAGTTGTTCCATAAATTTCCATAATCAAAACAAATGTTTCCAAACACTGCCGTTGTGTGGATCCATGTGGATTCATACGCCCCTCCTACTTGTGCCTCTGCTGGGACTTTTTGTGATGATGTCACATGTCTTGATGCGTTTAGAGCTGAGGTATAAATGAGGCTGCTGAGATTAACAGTTTTACCAGCACAACCTCTCTGACTCCACCTGAAAAGGCGAGACAGTTTCATCATCAGAGTCACTGCTGCCAACACAAACGAAGAAGACATGCTGCCAATCCGAGCTGTGGTGGTGATCACACTTACTGTTTGTCTGACTGCAAACACATCAGCAGGTTCGTATTTGTTGCTTTCTTGTCCTTTCTTGCCTTTCTATGATTTGTTTCTTGTTTAGTCACAAATTGTCTTTCCTTCTTTCACAGCTTATCCTGACTGCTGTCGAAGGTACATGAGAGGCAAATTACCATATTCAGCCATCAAGGGGTACTCAGTCCAGACTGATACAGAGATGTGTCCCATCAATGCCATCATGTGAGCATCATTACAATTACTTTAACAAACTGCTTTAAAGAAACTAGTGTTCACTGTGGGTGTGCAAATATCAACATATTGCTTTATTTTAATGTAGTTTCCACACAAAGAAAGGGAAAGCATGCGCCAATCCAGCTCTGAAGTGGGTGATTGACGCTATTGATCGCATAAGGTGAGATCTTTAGAAACAGAATAAAGAGCAAATGTTTTGATTTTCTAATAAACAGCAAGAGAAGTAACTCCATCTATCATCATTTTAGGAAAAAAGCGCAGAAGATCCACCAGCGCAGCTCACAGCTGCAGAAATAGAAGATCATTGGAGCTTTTTAAAGAGACCACTGATGCCAGCTACAGAAAACAAAGTTTTTTATGAGATCTTTGCATCCAGCAACTGTTTTATAGTCCAGTGAACTCCATCATGTGGAGCCTGCTGTAAATAAGAAAGATGTTGTCAAACAATGGACATATTAGCTCAGTTTTAAGAGGTCTATAATATTAATTTATACTTTGTAATTGTAACATTTTGGTTTTGTGCATGTACTGTTGTGTTAAATAAGAGTAATTTATGCAATTGTTTTTGTGGTTTTATACATACATTGAAATAAAATGAGTACCTCTTGTGGGTCTAAAACTATTAGCACGTATGCGCTGTTGAATTTTTTCACACTAAACACGTGACACTGCATTCCTCCTTTAATCTTTCCAGAGTTCCAGCTCTAGACATTTGTGTCATAACATGAAACCTAGAAAACAGCTAAACAATAACTGACGAAACTTCTCAAAGGAGGAAGTTGTGGGAGCTGCTTATGTAAAGCATGTAGTAGAGCAGGTATTTCATCAGCTATGATGAAGTGGAAGGCTTAGAAGGCTTAAATAAGAGCTGCAAAATGCATAACTGCCTGTTTTCTGTCCACTTTAGTGTTAATAGGTCAAGGTCAAGGTCAAATTTATTTATATAGCACAAAGTGCTTAACAATATAAGCCATTCAACTTTACCCCATTCAACTTTAAACTTGAAGTAATGTGATGATTAACTGGTGTGATAATCCGCCTCAGTTTGTCTTTGTCAGTCACATGATTCTGGAGTGAAGCCAAGGAAGTCTAGCCAGGTAGCAGGTGGCAGTTGAGCTGATGGTAACAGACTCTTTGCTCACTCATTCAAGAATGCACTGATTTATTGACTGTCAATTTTCTACAATTAAAAACCATAAAAAAAAACTTGTCTGTACTTTCGAACAGAAAATGTTAATTCACATGACCTTGACAACAACACCTGATTAATGGCAGATAACCAACAAGGAAGTTGCTGAGGCATTTCCACAGTCCTACCTGCGGGCAAAGACAGGTGAAATTTTCCGGCGGCCCTGCCAGAACCACAGAGCTGCCAGAGAACAGGGAGGAGTCTACAATAGGGGAAGTCCAGGTCCTCAGACAGAGCTGCACCTACACACTCTGCTTGGCTGGTTCAGCTTCCTGTGACCATCTTTGCTGCATTCCTGTACATTTCACTTTTGCATTATATTTAAAAACACAGACTAGCTACATTATGTACTCATGAAACTTGGAGAAAGGAAAGCTGCTGCAGCTGTGTGCCGAGGGAGCTCGGTTTCAATTTGGGCAAATTTCCTCCCTCAAGTACTTTAACATTGTTGCTTTACACTTTAATAATATTATTTAACATTGCACCACAAAATTATGTGAATAACATTCATTTTTAGAAGGTAATCATGCTTCATCTGATATCCTGTTTGACTTTTTAACAATTACTCACTTAACACAACACAGTGACGTGGATATGATCAAGTGGGGCTGCTGGTACACTGAGGGGACACACTGCAGGGATTCTATGCATTATAAGTTCACTATTACACACACCCGGCTCAAAAATAAAGTAATGAAAAAACTGTGGCAGTGCAAACATTTTTCTAAAGATTTACTAGGTCAACTTTATGCACAAAATTAAAAGATTTGCTTTTCACTCTAAAAAAAGAAAACATTGGCAAACCTTAAGATATATCAGAACAACATGATGCAATGCCTTTCTGAAAATTCTCAGCTTTTGACTTTTGTTGCTGACTTTAAAAAGAGCTCCTCATTTAGTCAAGAATTCTAGCAACCTGGACTTTCTTGTTCATCTAATTCCAATATTCCTGTGTGGTTGAAAATAAACTTGTAGCTTCAGTGGTATGTATTCCCCCATTCTCAGAGGCTTGGCTTGTATTGCTCCCAGCTGGCAACCTGGGACTTTTCATCTGTTTGGCTGGTGTACTAACCACTGCACCGTGGCAACACATGGAGCCTTCCTTTACAAACATTTAGCTGATAAAACTACATTTATTTAATGTAGAATAAATAAAATGAAGAGGACACAGCAGAAGGTTAGCTGAAACACTGTTTCTTCTGAATAGGTAAACCACACTAGTTTGGTTAAAGCCATAATCTTTGCAGGTAAAAAGTGAACTGGAAATGCATCCCAATCATTCTATGAATGAATTATCACATGCTTGGCTGGCTGGATTGTTAGCTGTTTGGTTTGATGATGGGTTGGATGGTTGGAGGGTCAGTATTACTTTTACTATTAAGAAACTGTGTCCTTTAGTCTCATTTACTTATCAGAATTTTGTCTTTGCTGATGTAAAACTCAGTAGTTTAGTGTTGTTCTTAAAAATGCAACTAAAAAGTTTTCAGCAAGACTAAAAATGAAATCAGATATATTGAGTTTAATATAGTTTGTTACTTTTAAGTCAAAAACTTTAAATTAGTGTATATTTACCCAGGCATACTTGAGCTTTTCATAAGCTTGTCTTTTATTGAGTACTTTACATCAGGTGCTGTATGGCTTGTTGCTGCTGGATCTGCGGTCATTTTCCTGGAATAAGAAGGAAAATGTGATCTCGCCTACTTAATCTTTAAATAGTTTTGAAACAGACATTTAATCATACCTGGAATTTTTTCAAACTAATATTATCAGTGAAATAGTAAGCATCTGCACATATTTGGTCTATAAATATCACAACATTCCATAATCAGTGCAATTTCAGAAGCCTGCAGATCCATGGATCCATGTGTATTTATAGGTCCCTCCCACATGTTCCACCTGTTTTGTTTTGTTTTTATTTTTAACTTTCAATGCTGGGATTTTTCTAGTTCGCTAAGAGCTGAGGTATAAATGAGGCTGCTGTGATCAGCACATCACCAGCACAACCTCTCTGACTCCACCTGAAAAGGCAAGACAGTTTCATCATCAGAGTCACTGCTGCCAACACAAACGAAGAAGACATGCTGCCAATCCGAGCTGTGGTGGTGATCGCACTTACTGTTTGTCTGACTGCAAACACATCAGCAGGTTCGTATTTCGTTCCTTCTTGTCTTATTTTCTTTAATTTTTTTCTGTTTAATCACATTTACACATAAGCACTATTTTTTGTCCTCTGTTATATGAACAAATGGTCTTTCCTTCTTTCACAGCTTATCCTCACTGCTGTCGAGGGTACATTACAGGCAAATTACCATATTCAGCCATCAAGGGGTACTCAGTCCAGACTGACACAGAGATGTGTCCCATCAATGCCATCATGTGAGCATCATTACAATTACTTTAACAAACTGCTTGAAAGAAATTTGTGTTCACTGTGGGTGTGCAAATATCAACATATTGCTTTATCTTAATGTAGTTTCCACACAAAGAAGGGGAAAGCATGCGCCAATCCAGCTCTGAAGTGGGTGATTGACGCTATCAATCGTATAAGGTGAGATTTTTAGAAACAGAATAAAGAGCAAGTGTTCTGATTTTCTAATAAACAGCAAGAGAAGTAACTCCATCTATCATCATTTTAGGAAAAAAGCGCAGAGGATCCACCAGCACAGCTCACAGCTGCAGATGTAGAAGATCATCTGAGGTTTTTAAAGAGACCACTGACGCCAGCTACAGAAAACAAACTAAGAGCTTGTATAATATTAATTTATACATTGTAAATATCAGATTTTGGTTTTTGCATCTAGTGTTGTGGCAAAAAAGCGTAATTTATGAATATGTTTTTGTGATTTTATACATACATTTAAATAAAATGAGTCTAAACTATTACCCGTTATGTGCTGTTGAGTTTTTTTCACATTTAACACGTGGCGCTGCATTCCTCCTTTTATTTTGTTTCCTAGTTTGTAACAGTGAAAAATTCCAGCTTGGAAGTTCTGTGCTGCAATCTAATTGTTAAACAATAGCAGATGAAAGTCCTGTGACATCAGCAGGAGGAAGTCACAGGCTGTTTATTTAAAGCATGTATCAGAACAGGTATTTCTGTGCAGACAAGATGTCATCAGCTCTGATGATGGTGTTTAGTTGCACTTTTTACTACAGGCTGGTAATAATGATGCAATAGTGGGGGTAATGAGGTGGAAGGAGCCCAGTAATAACACAGAAAGAGGACGTTATTACTAATTACTAAAGTAATATCAAGGTCATATCACGAATCACAATTGTTTGACAAAAACCAATATTAGACTAATTGGGTGATAAGAGGCCAGAAAATGGGAATAGTGGGAAATGTAGAAACAACATATGCCAATAAAACAATGCCAGTTAGTACAGCAGTATATCGAGGACAATATGATAAACTGCTAGCAATAAAATTGTAAGAACTGTGCATTTGAATTTTTATTTACTGACTTTAAAGTGGTTGTAACCTCATAAGAATAAGGTAATATGGGTTAATGTTTTAACGTATTAGGATAGTATTACCATATTATGATGCTAATATGAATCTTACCTTACATCTGCAGCGGAAACATTATTATATGTGGCCTGTTACCTGGAAACATCTGCGATACTTTCTGAGCAGCTATACAACACTTTGATAATCAAATGTAGCTTTAGGCCACATCGGTACGCGAGTGAAAGTGATTTTTAGATGGCATGGATGCACAGCAGTCATGTGGCGAGTCCTTCATGTGCTGCTGTGCACTGCCACCCACTGCGGGTACTCTGCACTACACACCGTGGCTGTTCAGCATGTCTTATGCTCTTATGGTCACGTCACATTTTGCTTGATCATTATTTACAGTTTCATAATCGCTTTATTGGGAAATGTTTCTATATTATTATTCCAATTTTCTGGCTTCTTATCACCCAATTTATGGTTTCTTATGGCAGTTTGTTGTCTTTTCTGGTCATTTTGTGTATAATTGATTTAATTAATTTTATTTTTAAATCTCATTGTGGTCCCTGAATCTTTGGCTCCTTGATTTTTCTGTCTCTTTATTCCTTTAACTGTTTTGACATTTTGTTTGTTGCCTTCTAGCTTTATACTTCTTTGTAATAGTTTAAAATGCTTATCTTTTTTTTCCTAGTAGTTTTTCATTGTATGTATTTATGTATTTGTTTGATCAGATATATTAACTGCAATATAGTTTACTACCTCTAGTCTAAGGAGCTTGCAAAGAAAAGCATCTGGACTTCTTTGAGTTGCTTGAAGACGTTTCATCTCTCATCCGAGAAGCTTCTTCAGTTCTAAGGTCAAATGGTGGAGAGTCCCAGATTTAAACCCAGTGGGAGTTTCCCCCCAAACAGGGACAAAGGGACCCCCTGATTATCCTCTAACTAATCACATGAGCCAAGGTGTGAAAATGGGTGTGGGTCACAATCAGCCTGGTTTTGGGTGAGCTCATTGTGAAACCTAACCCCACCCTATCATGTGATTTCCTGAGGTCAGATGGCCCAGGGTGTGAGTGGGCGTTAAGGCGTCTGGGAAGGGATCTCAAAACTGGATTATAGATGGCAGAGAGTTGGTGTCGTAAACCCCCGCCTCTGTTCAAAGATGGTCACTCACAGTGGACATAGATGGTTTCTTTCACTCCTCTTTCAAACCATCTGTCCTCTCTGTCCAAAATGTGAACATTGGCATCCTCGAAAGAGTGTCCTTTATCCTTAAGATGCAGATGGACTGCGGAGTCTTGTCCTGTGGAGGTGGCTCTTCTATGTTCTGCCATGCGCTTGTGAAGTGGCTGTTTGGTCTTTCCAATGTAGAGGTCTGGGCATTTCTCGCTGCACTGTACAGCATACACCACATTGTTAAGTTTGTGTTTTGGAGTTTTGTCTTTCGGGTGAACCAGTTTCTGTCTGAGTGTGTTGCTGGGTCTGAAACACACTGGGATGTTGTGCTTGGCGAAAACTCTCCTGAGTTTCTCTGATACACCGGCTACATGTTCATCGTGACCTTTTCCAGCTCTTCAACTCCAGAGATTTTCATTTTTATTTGTAATTTTGCATTAGTTGATAATTTATCCTCTTTAAACACTTTATCCCCATGTGCTTCTGAATGTCTCACACTGTATTAGTTTTATTTTTGCCTCTTTTATGTTTTAATTGTTTTAACTGCCTGGTGAGTCACAAAGACACTCCTTATAAAACTTCCCATGTTGCAGGAGCTGGCTTTGCAGGAGTTTTTGTCTTGTCAGGGAGTGTTAACCTAACATGTGACCCAATATTTGTATGCATATATATATATATCTTTAACATTTATATAAATTTATAATTGTGTGTATGTATAGATAGATAGATAGAACCTGGAAGTCCCGAGGTCAAAATGGGAGATGCCCCCAAGGGTGATGGACAACGACCGAGCTAAGATCCTGTGGGACTTCCAGATACAGACGGACAAAATGGTGATGGCTAACCAACCGGACATAGTGGTGGTGACAAACAGAAGAAGACGGCCGTAGTGATGGATGTAGCGGTTCCAAATGACAGCAATATCAGGAAGAAGGAACACAAGAAGCTCGAGAAATACCAAGGGCTCAGAGAAGAGCTCGAGAAGATGTGGAGGGTGAAGGTGATGGTGGTCCCAGTGGTATGCCAGTCATCATCCTCCCAAATACTGCGTGTTAAGCTTTATAATATGTTGCTTTGTTTATTCATTCATCATTTTAAAGTTTGGATTCTTTTTCTGGACAGACGTTTGAAACATAGAAATGAAAAAAACTAAAAATGATCGTAGATATACATGCATATAGAACCGTTAGACAGAACACTTTTTTTGCACTGATATTAAATTTTTAACATTTAATAATTTTGCTGGAACAAGAACACCATCTTTTCCTCACCTGCTTGGAAATATGTCATCATGAATGTTTGTTTTTTACTGATATCATCTGTGAAATAAACATGTGCACACATATTTGCATACTTACTAAAGTCAAAACAAAGGTATGCAGACACGAACACAGTGTAGTTTGTATTTATAGCCAATCCCACCTGCTCCACCTGTTCCACCGCTTCCTCTTTTTTTATCTTTAACTCGGGAAAATGCTGGGACTTTTTGTGATGATGTCACATGTCTTGATGCGTTTAGAGCTGAGGTATACATGAGGCTGCTGTGATCAGCACATCACCAGCACAACCTCTCTGACTCCACCTGAAAAGGCGAGACAGTTTCATCATCAGAGTCACTGCTGCCAACACAAACGAAGAAGACATGCTGCCAATCCGAGCTGTGGTGGTGATCGCACTTACTGTTTGTCTGACTGCAAACACATCAGCAGGTTTGTATTTGTTTCCTTCTTGCCTTATTTTCTTTGATTTTTTGTCTGTTTAATCACATTTACACATAAGCATACACATATTTTAATTTAACACGTTTTCTTTCCTTCTTTCACAGCTTATCGTTACTGCTGTCGAAGGTACATGACAGGCAGATTACCATGTTCAGCCATCGAGGGGTACTCAGTCCAGACTGTCACAGAGATGTGTCCCATCAATGCCATCATGTGAGCATCATTACAATTACTTTAACAAACTGCTTTAAAAATTAAAAAAAAAAAAAACTTGACACAACATTAGTGTTTACTGTGGGTGTATAAATATTAACATATTGCTTTGTTTTAATGTAGTTTCTACACAAAGAAGGGGAAAGCATGCGCCAATCCAGCTCTGAGATGGGTGATGAACTGTGTCGATCGCATAAGGTGAGATTTTTAGAAGCAGAATAAAGAGCAAACACTGTGATTTTCTAATAAACAGCAGGAGAAGTAACTCCATCTATCATCATTTTAGGAATAGAGCGCAGAGGATCCACCAGCTCAGCAGCCTGTGATTCCTCACTGTTTTATAGTGAACGGCGTCTTATGGAGCCTGCTGCAAATGACAAATATGCTGCAGATATCAACTCAGTTTTAAGAGCTTGTGTAATATTAAATGTTTGTATTCATTGTAAATATAAGAGTTGTCCATGAATTAAGCTGTGGTGAGAAAGAGTAACCAGTTCCATGAGTGGTTGTGTGGTTTCAGGGAAACATTGAGTACCTGTTCAGGTCTAAAACCACTTCTGCTTGTGTGCTGTTGAATTTGTCCACATTAACACGTGACACTGCATGCCTCCTTTTATCTTAGTTCTTTGTTTATCTTCTCACGCTGAAAGATTCCAGCTCTGAAAGTTCTCACTGTGAGAAGTTTTCTGGAAGTTCTGTGCCACGTGATAAAAAACCCAGGAAGTCGTTAAACATTAATAGGTGAATTTCCAGTAACATAAGCAGAAAGACAATGTGGGATCTGTTTCTTTAAAGAACGTTGCAGAGCAGGTATTTCTTTGTTGACAGTTAGATGAGAAATCTGCCCTGATTTTAATCTGTAGCTTTTCTGTGGTTAAGCTAGTTTGACCTTTGACTTAGTATAATACCTCGTTACACATTACCTGCATTCATTTTGTGTTTAATCTCATTGTATTATATTCTGATTTATGAAGATCTTCATTTTTTGTATTTTCCATTTAATTTTCTGCTTAAACACAGTCATTTCCCAGCTGTTGGCATAAATAAAGTATTTCTCGTCTTATCTTAATTATATTTTGCTAGATTCTGTGCATGCAAGGAACCGAGGCTCCTTCAGAAACAGCCTGTAGGCAGCAGAGTTATCAAAATTAGATTTTTTTTATAAATTTGATTGGTTTTAGTGTTAAGTTTTACTCACTACGATAAACTTGGCTGCAGTGGTAAGCGTCTGTGGGTAAGACATGGAGTAAATATTAAAGAACAGCAATTTATCTTTTTAATGGTAATAATGTAATATGGCAATGAGGGAAAGATTTTTAAGTAGACAAAATAAGAAATACAAAAGGACTGTACAGCTGCAAAGTGCTGTCAGGAGCACATTTTCAATATTCTGCAAAGGTCTTGAGCAAACCCTAATTTCTTTAAAATTAGCTAGAAAAGTGAGAGATGTATGCAACGATTTATTGAAACATGTACAGACATAAATAGAAATAGAGTCTATATAAAGTATATAAATCAAAAACAGAGTATGTACTGTTATGAAGGAAGGAAGGCTCAGGGTTTAAGTAATCAGCATCATGGGCTCATCCGATTAGAATAAGAATAAAGCAGTCATCTAATCATTCACAGGGTTCTCCTTTTATTCTCAAATCAATAAAGCAAAGAAGGAAGGAAAGACACACATGGACTGCCAATGCTGAAAGAAAACAGAGATTTAAGTTACTCATTACCTTAAACAATACATAAAATAAAAACCCCAAACAGAACCTCACCTCTGCTGCCGCCCCATGTGGGAGTGAAGAAGGAGTGAGCCAAAAGTGAATGCAGTCCTTATATTATGTGTGACAGGTGAGTGCAATTAAGGACAAGCACCACACCCAATCAAAGGTGAGAGAACTAAACAAGGTGTATCTGGTGAAGTGAGTGGGTGTGCTGGGATGTGCTAAAAGGTGGGTCTTTACAACATGTACAATTCTAAAGAGCTTGAAAGTCAGTATTTGGTGTGACCGGCATTATTCTTCAACACTGGCTGAACTCTCTTCATGGAGCTTTCTCTTAATCTCTAAGTAGTCTGCAGGAATAATTCTCCAGGCTTGAAGGACATTCAAAGCTCTTCTTTGGATGTTGGCCGTCTTTTATTCTGTTGGTCTGGGCTCTGAGGAGGCCAAAATCTGACAGTACTTATCTGTGATCATAATTCCCAACACCACTTACTATTAGGGATGGGTATCGTTTAGGTTTTATCCGATACCAGTACCAAACCGGTACTTTTGAAACGGTGCCGGTGCTTAAACGGTGCTCAAACCGGTGCTTAAAGAATGGAGAACACAAAATTGGTCCACAAACCTCTCATGTTCAGCTGTTTTTTTTGTAAAAAGATAACAATGTTAGCCTTTTCTGCAGCTATGGGGGATTTATGGCATCACTCTTGGCTGGAAGCAGTGCTTAAACAATGGAAAAAACACACTTTGTCCAAAACCTCTCATGTTTAACTGTTTTCCACTTTTTCTTTGGTCATTTTAGCCTTTTTGGCCAGGGTGCAGGGAGTATCTGCCATCAAACAAGACCACAGCTGCATGTAACTACAAAGGTGTTTGCTAGTTCACCTTACGTGCATTAATGTAATAACTGGTTAGTGTACTCAACGTAAATTACACACGAACAACATGAAGCTACTCATGCAGAGAAGAACGGCTGCTGCTGCCGTCATCATCCGTCATCATTTCTGCTACACTGGCAGGGCTAGGGGCCAGGACTCTCCTCTTCGTGTTTTTGGGGGATGTTGCTAACTCTGGGTCCAATAACAGGCACCACACCCGCAGTAGATGTGCCCGGTGTGAGGTCTCGCAGCATTTCTCGGCGTATAACAAAATGCTATACGTCACCAGGTGTTTCAACAGATTCGAGGAGTTACCTCCTTTGCACAGTATCACCTTAAAGCACTTGTTGCAGGCTGCTGAGTTTGCATCTTTTGCTGTGAAGTACAGCCAGACTTTGACCGCTTCGCCTTGGGCGTTTTTAATCTGTAGCTCTGCTCTAAAAGAACGTACGTACCTGGGCCCGCCTACTATCCTCGGAAACCTAAAATGATTGGCTATAGAATCCAAAGTGACATCTCAGGAAAAAAAAGCACCGAAATGTGCGCTGCTTTTCGGTCTGGTTACTACCGTTTATGTCAGAACCGGTACCCGTCCCTACTTACTATCATCATTATCATAGAGTCTTTTAAAGAAAGCATCTTATAACAAAGTGGGTAAAGATCATTTTTAACATTTGTTCTTTAGCAACTTGTCCGTTATTTGTCGACACAACACTGGTTCATCCCTGGAGTTCGTTGCCCTTTTTATGCTTGAATCCTTCATAGAACAAGGTCAGAAGTGAAAAAGCAACCGATGTCCAAAGAAAAAAAACTACAGTGCGAGCGCATTATTAATTTCTCAATACTAATGTGATGTATTTATCTCAACAAATTGATAATTCCCAATTTATGTAGCACTTTTAATTACACCAAACCAAAGCCAGGGTTGGAAATGATTTAACTGTAACACTCTAATGTTGTTGTTGTTTTCTGTAATGCTCCAAAGCAATTTAAAATTTTAAAGATTAATGACAAGGAATGCACTTCTGTAAAAAACAAACAAAAAAAAAAAACCCCCCCAAGATCAATTAAAAATTAAAGCTAACCAAAATACTCGGCTGTGGTTGGTCAGTTTCCCTCAGCTACTCTATGCTAAATAAATGATACATGATTTCCACATCGTTACAGAGGGAGGCTGTGTGTACAGCTCAGCACTAGATGGGGGTAGTGTCACTTTGAGGTGTTGTGAAACAACGTTTCAATAACACTTGGATTTGTTTCCAGCTCAAGTCTGTTCCCGAGGTTTCTTCTCGTGTCTCTCAGCATCCCAGCTTCTTACACACTGGTTCACACGATGTGGGCTTTCACACTGTTCCCTTTATACATTTTATGGTTTGGATAACTTTCCGAGTTTAATTTCAACAAAACTGTGATGACACTTTTATTTATCGTCTCTTGCCATCAGCTGCGCCTTTTGGCGACACCAACAAGGCTGAACAAACCGAGCGTTTTCTCCTGTCGCATGAATCCATCCCAAATGACAGTCCGAAGCCACGCTCACGGCCACTATTACATCACCTCCACTCTTCTGCACCACTGCACAGAGTGCTTTTCTATGAATAATACAGAGAGACTTGGGAGGCGGGGGTACACGGACATGGGACTTGGTGACTAAATGACACAGATGACAAAGATCGTTCTTACGTGAAACACGAGTTAATCCGAACAGTAAATAATCACATCAGCCTAATGAACTGATTCAACTTTATTAGTTTAATTGACAAATCAGTGACACAAACATTCTTACACCCATACATCACATGTGTGAGCTTTGGGTTCACCTTACTTGAATTACAGAAGTCGTTGCAGGCGGCTACAATGAGAAATGGCAGCGGTGTGGCCGGTCCCAGACTGCGAAGGAAGACAAGGTTATAGACTGCTTTTTTCCCCCTCCCCATGAGACAGCAGGCTTTAGCATAGAAGGAAAATGACATATTGCACCGTGAGATCACCAGACAGGTCCTCTATCTTAGCCAGCGCACACACACACAAACAAACAGGGGCAGGCAGGAAACCTCTCATGAAACTCAAACACAGATAATGAGGCATCCTCGGTGAGAAAGGTGGAAACAATTGACTTTATACAGCCGGAATTTCCTTCCTTCTCCCAGCACGTTTGCATGAGGGGGAACATCGAGCAAAATCTAGTGAAAACTAGATAATCGTTTATCTACTGCTGTAAGCTTTCTGGAGTTTTTGTTCTCCCTGTCCTCCCTCTCCATCAGCCCGTCTCTCTTGCCAGCACAGGCGCACAGTTAACGCAGAGTTAACTCAGCTCAGTGTATAATTAGACAAACAAAAAAGAGAGGGATGAAACATCTAAAGGAGAAGAGACTCCAAATGATTACACATTCACTCCGCTTCCTTCCCCCTTGCTGCACACATAACCATCAATTAGAGGAGAGGAGGATGAGGACAAGCAAGCAGCCAGGAGTCTATTTGTGTCTCTATCTCTCCTTCTCTTTCCCCTTAAGACTCCCAGCACCGGGGAGGGAGGAAGGAGGGAGAAAATAGAAGTGAAAAACAAGAAGTATATAAATAAAATAATCAGAGTGCCTCACATCCGGCCGACTGATTGGCTGAGACGCGAGTCAGGCAGATCTGGGCCACAGTTGCACTCATTGTTCAGTGAGCTTTTCTACACAGTCCAACCCAGCGACAGCAATGAATGTTGATTGTGACCTTAGGTCTTCGGGTACAGTGGAAACAGAGTGTCACTTTTGTGTGCGGCGCGGCTGTGTGCGTCTGTTCTCGTCACCGGATTTTCATGCAGCCACTTTGCCCCTTTGTTCATTTTTTTTTTCTTCCTTCGCTCGTTCCTGACGCCGTCGGAGCGAACCACGGGGCACAGTCAACGGTCGATGGTTTTTTGTGTCCATACCAAACTCACCGACAGCGTTGAATGTTCACCGAGGCAAGCAAGGCGAGGAAGGACGGCAGCTGTGACCGTGAGCCGAGCTGACACGGGAGGCAGGGTGTGGAGGAAGAGGAGGGAGGAGAGCCAGTCAGACAGGCATGGGACAGGGGGACGGGGACGATGCTCAGAACCACAGAGGTCAGGTTGCGTAACGAGAGGACATAACGACACAAGACAGTGGCAGAATGAGTCCGCTGTCCTCAGGGCAATGACAGTTCTGGTTATGTTCCCCGCACACACACACACACACACACACACACACACACACACACACACACACACACACACACACACACACACACACACACACACACACACACACACAAGCATCACGAAGCATACTTAAGCTCGAGCATAAGCTGAGAGGCTCTGCTTTAGAGCTTTACTACCACCTCATTAATCAGAGGAACACGAAGTCTTTCATCTTCAGATGAAAATTGCTCGTAACAGCATCTGAAACACAGATGAAGAAAAAGTTGTTAGCGCTGATATCCCAC